CCAGTTAGCGACAAGTTTCGGATCGATATCGCACTTGTTGACGTAAAAATATTTCATATCATACGTCAACAAAACCGGTGCCGATTCGAAAATTGTCGCTAACTTGTTACAGAATCTGCCCCCAGGCCTACAAAAATGATATCGTCCGATTCAGGTGGAACAAAAATGCTTCAAACAAGTAAGAGTTTCTCTGCATTCTGGCCTCGAACCGACATATATACATCTTTCATTTGAATCCGTATTAAAAGCCTTATTGGCTCCTACATACGGGTTTTTATAGGCGAGTCTCCCCTGAACCGTTTTTTCCATATTTTTGGCCTACGTGCGCTTTTAGGGCCGTTTGCACCATGTCTAGTTAATTCTAACTCCCCGTTAAACATCTTTATCGACGTTATCGACACCCATCATATAACATGTGCTCGATAAAGCAGTTGACATGCTTAACTGAAGGATGTACCTCCAGTTAGCGTTAACTAGACATGGTGCAAACGGCCCTTATTCGAAACCTAAATGTTTCGGTACCGAGTATCGAGAGCATTGGACACTTTTTAAATCGGAACCGAATTACGATCAATACTTAAAAGTATTGACTCAGCACATCACTAGAAACAGGCAACATGTAAACAAAAACAGCTGATATGCACTTTGACGCTTTATCCGTTTTTACCCGGGGAAAAAGTCCGGGCTGTTTTGGGCAGGAAGAAGAAGACACTTACGATCCAAGACGTTCCAATTTTCGCTCTCTATTACCCATTTTGTTGAACACGGAAATGATTTCTGGGCTATTTTGGGCACCCGCGGGATCCCGCGTTGCGTACGGGAAAGAACCTAATATTAGACATCTAAATGTAATGCCACGGTCACACTACCAACTTTCTCAAATGTCCTCATTACGAACTCTTCACACCATCCAATTCCTTGCGATCAACTAACACCCCTATTCTGCAACTCTTTCGTATTCGGATTTTACTACGAATCGTAGAAATAGTATGCTGCAATCCGAATCGTATTTTCGAGCTTTCGAAATTC